AGTAAGATGAAACGAAAGACGAAGAGTTTTGTGAGTAGTAGTAGTAGTAGTAATAGTAGTAATAATAGTAGTGGTTTAGTTTTTAAATTTTTTTTTTTTGTCAAAACGAGGTGAAAGAGAAAGAAGAAGAAAAGTTGGTGGTAGAATTTCTTTATTATCATTATCATCATCATCATCCTTTTTATTTCCTTTTCCATAATGAAAATAATGGAAAAACGGTAAATTTAACTCGTTTGTAACGACCGCGATTATTTAAATGTGGTAATTACATATTGTGTAAATAAGGTTTCCTATACGACGACTCGCGACGACGACGACGATTGAAATTTTTTTTCGGTATACCGAAATACACAAATCCCGTTGCATTTTTCACATTCGTTAATTATCGATAATTATAGTCGTAAAGAAGGATTTTTCGAAGAAACGACGACGACGACGATGCGACGACAGTTTTGCCAACAAAATAAAAAAAAATCGGGTGGAAGGCAAGTTTGTTGTGGTTGCGAGAGGTTAAATGTCATCACCGAATGAAAACTGGTGCGGTGGTGATGATGGTTGTTGGAATGAGAATAGGATTTTTCGGGAGAGGGAGGGGAGGGGAGGGGGCCGGAACGAGCCTTAAATTTAACACCCGGTTGACTCATGATCGAATTGAAAATGTAGATATCGGGAAGAATGAGAAGAGAAGAGATACGAATGGATGGATGGATGGATGGATGGATAAATAAACAAGACGAAAAGATTTGAGAGGCGGTTCGCCCCCCCCCCAACCTCCCCCTTCTTTTCTTTTTTTTCTCTCTTCGTAAACAAAAGGAGTCTTAATTCTTTGTTAATACCAGCAGCTTGCAGACGAAAATGTTTGAAAGCTCAACAAATCGTTTGTCTGGTCACTCATATTTCAATTTTTTTGTTTTCGATACGAAGAATTCAGTTGTTATCATTTGTATAGTCGTCGTCATCGTCGTTGTTGTGGTTGTGGTTGTCGTTTGTTGTTGTTATTGTTACTGCCACCGCCACCACCACCATGGTCACCTATTTGAATTCCTAGAAACGATAATTTAAAACAAATATGTCGCGACATAAGTGAGGAAGTTGTGAAGTCTTAACGTAATCGAAGACGTTAAATAAAATAATAATAATAATAATAATAATAATAATAATAATCAATTTGATTTACGATACGAATTTTCGTCCAAATATGTCATAAAAAAATTATATTTAAATAATAAGAGGGAGAGAGAGAGAGAGGGGGGGGAGAAGGAGGCACACAAGGAACGAAAAAAACGAGACAACGTCCAACATTGTAGACATTTTATTCGTTTCGTTAAAGTCTATAAAAGTCTAGATTTTAAAACATCCGGTTGTTGTTGTTGTTGTTTTTTTTTTTTTTGTTTCGTTGGCGATACATCCATTGAATGATAAGCGCGTAAATGTCATTTTAGTGGTGGCACGCACTCACACACACCAAGAAAGCGTGGTTTCCGTCCTCTTCTCGATTTGGTTAATTTAATATAAAAAAAAAAAAAAAAAACTTTATTTCTTTCGTTTTGTTTCGTCGTTACAAACAACAACAACAACAACAACGTCGGATTATGAATAATACGATTGAAAAAATATCGAGATTCGATTTCTCGAATCTTGAAGTCGAAGTTTAACATTTTTTTGCTCTTATCACAAAAAAAAAAAAAATTGAATTCCGGTTGTTGTTATTGTTTTTGTTTTGTTCGTTCGCATACCAACTTTTGAAAACAAAAAAAAAAAAAAAAAAGCAGAAGATGATAATTTCGATTGACGCACGAGTTTTTTTTTTTTGGTTTTTCACTTTTGATTTCGTTGTCTCTTCGTCATGGGGTTTCATATTTGCCACAGTTTGATATCGTAATTTATTTATAATAGTCCGACATTTTGTTTTTTTTTTTTTTTTTTTGTTGGTTATTCTTTTTGGTTTCGACCGTTCAAATTCTAACCGATTACTACTACTGTTATTATTATTATTATTATTATTATTATTATTATTATCATTATTTTGAAATGATTAGATAGCGAGGAAAATTAAACGTTGATGATAATAATAATAATGAATTTGGTCGGCGTTATAATCGAGAGTATTATAATTGAGTAATTTCAACGTCAAGTGAAAAATAATTTTCAAATCGACTGTGTCGCCGCTCTCGTTCGTTCGTTAATAAGGCGTAAAATAATTCGAGAGATGATAATGAAAAAGAAAAGTGGAGGAATCGGAGCGGAGGGGGGGAAGCGGGGAGGCGGGAGGGGTCGAAATTACACATGTGCGTATGTATGCATGAATAAAGGAAGGAAGGAAGGAAGGAAGGAAGTAACGGAAAGTCAAAAGAATAACGATGATAATAATAATAATAATATTTGACTACTAATATCGCTGTTGTGTTTGTGTCGTTTGTTTGTCGTCTCCAAAAAGAGAAAAAAAAAAGCTGGAAAATTCGAGTCGTTGCGACGACGTGGAAAAACAACCGCCGGGGGAAAAACTAAAAACTTCGTAGTAGGGTCGCAACAGTGAAAATCAAAAATAAAATCTCTGGATTTTTCCCGTCTCTCTCTCTCTCTCTCTCTCTCTCTTTCTCTTTCCCGATTTAAATCTTCCTTCTTTTTCTTTTTCCCCAGATCCCTTATTAATTTTTTTTTTTTTTTTTGAACGTCTGGTATCGTTTTCTGATTCACGCACACACACACGCGTGCGTACGTATTTATATACGTTTGTAATTTGAATGAAACGTGGTAAAGGGAAACGTTAAAAACGCACGCACAGACACACTCACGCACGCGTTCGGGTCTAATGACGTATAAGTACATAAGATTCAAATGTCCCGCCCATTTTGTCTTTATGCGTGTGTGTGCGTGTGTACAGTCGTGAATGCCAAAGTAAACAACGGATAAAATTGTATAATAACCATCATTTTTCCTTTCCTTTCCTTCTCTCTCTCTCTCCCTCTCTCTCTCTCTCTCTCTCTCTCTCTCTCTCTCTCTCTCTCTCTCTCTCTCTCTCTCTCTCTCTCTCTCTCTCTCTCTCTCTCTCTCTCTCTCTCTCTCTCTCTCTCTCTCTCTCTCTCTCTCTCTCTCTCTCTCTCTCTCTCTCTCTCTCTCTCTCTCTCTCTCTCTCTCTCTCTCTCTCTCTCTCTCTCTCTCTCTCTCTCTCTCTCTCTCTCTCTCTCTCTCTCTCTCTCTCTCTCTCTCTCTCTCTCTCTCTCTTATCGTGCCATCTTAATGGTATTTGACCATGTGAGATAAACGTTGGGGGGCTAAATAAGGTGCCGCGAAAATGTACGTTCGATTCCCGGGAAGTCGGTAATTTTTTTTTTTTTTACTGTCGAAGAAGGCGGTGAGAAAGGAAATGGGGG